GAACATAATGAAGATAAAGATATGGTTGTATATATAACACGTGTCATAATCAACGTTTCGGGGGGAAAACTATTCGTAATAAGAAAATGAATGGATATCAGAGCCACTTACGACGTTTGATATCAGAGCCCCTTACGACGTTTACACGCTCGACACTTATATACATATGCATATTAAATGGACACCCGTCGCTTGTTGTGACTGAATACTAAAGTTGATATGTTTTTTTGGATCTTTTTGTGAACCGAATCAAAAGCATCATCCAGATATATAACCATTTTGACATTTTGCCATCATTAACCACTAATTGTTTATAAATGCATGACTCAGACAACATAATACAGCCATTTTTAATTTTGTTCTACAAAAATTAGACACTGAACTGAATAGTTATAATGATTATTAGCAAAAGTCTTTGAACATCGTAAAAATTAACTTGATTAATAAACAAGCATACGACAACAGAGTTATTTGATTTTTTTATACACTCAAATATATGAGATTCATACCATGCAATCAAAAATCAAAGTCTTATAAAGTAGTAACCAGGCCTCACTGAAAACATATTCTCTCGAATTGAAAATAATAAGTTTTCACATGTACCAATGCCCATCCACAATTGAACTTTGGTGGATAGTTTTCTCTTTGGCAATTATATCACATCTCCTTATTTTGATATTCACCATTCACTTCTTTGGATAAAGAGAGATAAATCAATCACAAATCACTATATACTGTTGTTTGTCTTTTAGCTGTTTTTTGTTTTGTTTTTTTGGCATGGCATTATCTAATAGTTTTCGACTTACAAGTTTGAATAATCCTTTGTAGCTTTCGCCTCTCCATTTTATAGATTGGGATCTCATTGACAATTTCCACGTATCAAAGTTCTGATTATACATGCACTTTCTTGAAGACATGGTATATCGATTGACTTTAATTATCAAAAACGAGGATTGTGAAAATCAAGATAAACAATACATAATGCTACATTAATTTTAAATGAAATTAAAAATTAAAATTGAAAAAAATCCAAATCCATTTTATATTTGGAGATGAGTGTAGCATTGTTTTCATCGCATGAACTAACATCATAGTTATAGTTGTAAATAGTGTTGTATTTGAAGTGTTCGTTAAACTTTTATAATTTTCCTTAATCAAGCATGATATGTAAATTCTAGCAAGTTATTTTAGACAATGTTAGAAAACAAGAATTTTTACTGGTTATTTGTTTCCCTTATTTTTTTTAGTGTATTCGGTGTGAGATATGCTGTATATTTACTTGTACAGTTTCCTATAAATCAAATTTGTTTTTCAGCATACTTACTTGACAATAAGTGAAACATATTAATATTTTTCAATATTAGAACTGGTAGGGTAGATACCAGGTAACGAAGATGATTTAAAAGTTATAAAACTACGATGTAAATAATTATAAAGTAATTCATACATGTGCCTATTTTTGCATGGGATGACTGTGACACTGAAGTACCAACCATCTAGAAGGTTTAACAGCAAAAATTGAAAAATTAATGATCAAATTTGCATTTTAAATGCAGAATTTAAAATAAATATAAATACGTTAAATTACGGCTTTTTTATGATGCGTAAATACACATACAATGTATAATGTTACAATTATGTTTATACATAGAAAATACTGAAGCATAATAAATACATTTTTAGGGTTATCATTTTCGCATTTAGCCTTCAAGATTATTTTTTGGACGGTTGTTCGCAGTAGATAATGAGAAATAAAGACTTTCTTGATAGATGTTTATTTTGCAAATAGAGTTCCTGAGTTTCTTCATTAATCGTAAAAATCCCTACATTTTAAATTCGAAAAGTATAAAGTTTCCGTTTTACATAGCTACGATGATATTAAAATTTCAATTTTGATTATTATATAAAGTTCGATTGAATCAAGTAATGAAGGACAATAACACTCTAATGTGGAACATATTAAACTTAAATCTGTTATTTGATAGTTGAATTAGTTACAGTTTCTTTCTAACATTTCATTATTCAAAACGCTCATAGATCCATATGAAACAGAAATTAGTAGATGTTTCTAGTTTTCTCAAACATAATAAAAATTAGCTGACCAATTTGACTTGTTTGTTAATTCCTAAAACAAAGTTCACCTAAGATAGATAAGAATATTATCTTATCTCCTAAGGGGCCTCGGTGGCCGAGTGGTCTAAGTAGTTACTACTGTATTCACTAGCCAGTCAACACTGAGGTTGTGAGTTCGAACCACGCTCGTGCGGGTGCACTCGACTCCAATCTTAATTGACTAGGATTGTCAGTTTTCCTATCGAAGGTCGGTGGTTTTTTCCGGGCACTCCGGCTTCCTCCACCAATAAAAACTGGCCGCCAAAAGCGGTGCTTAAAAAGTGGCGTTAAAACACCAAAAATCAAAATCAAATCAAATCTTACTTCCCATACATTTTTAGAATTAGCGAAAAGCGACCGCAAGGATACCGTGTATATTTCATTTGAGGTCAGTAGGCGTGGTTCATTTAAATACAAGGCTAGTAGTGGTGTAACGTCCATTTTTAAAACAACATGACGTCTAGACAAATATAAATAAAAACTTTCCGCCAAGAAAATTGATGATGAACGACTGAAAATAAAAACAAACACCATCTTAAAAACTAACAAGTTCTATATTGTTGGAATTTATTTCTGTATAAACCAAAAGAAGTAGTTTCTTTATATTGAAGACTTGGTCACTTTGATAAGCCTTTTGTCTTAATGCTCCATGTTATGATAGGCGGTAATATAAATTCGTTACACAGAGTACTAACGACCTCCTTATATGGAATTTACTGACCCCATATATACCGTATTAGGTCACTAGCACACTATGTAAATAGTAATCTTTTTATGTGCCTTCGGTCGTATAGCTAATCATGTTTTCTTCAATCCTTGGCTTTACAATGTTTGGCTTAGACCGTTCCTGGTAAAGTAAATAAACAATATTAATTTTTGCAACACCGTAAAAACGTTAAAAAAGGATGTACTATACCGTTTGAAATTAGTTTTCTACGGGTTCAACAAAAATTGCAGACAATTGTATCTATGGAAGAATTTCATAGCGAATGAGTTGGCATATTCATTGACGCTATAAAATTGCCAAAAGAACACAGGAACATCACCGTCCAAAAAGAAAGTTTTAACAATATATAGGGAATGAACATCTGATATCAGATTTCTATGTTGTGTTTTGTGTTTTGCGTTTATTGTTTGTCTTTTTTTTTTAGCCACGTTGTCAGTTTATTTTTGACATATGGTTTAAACGTTCGTTTGTTATCTTTTGCCATTCTTTTAATCATCGCATCAGACCTCCGTCCAGTAAATATATCTCGAATTATTCAACTTCCTCATGTTTGAAAAAAAAATTGTTTATAAGTTGCAGCAAATCAATTTCAATCAGATTGGTCAAACGACCATATATAGAATTAAATAAGAAATCGTTTGTTTGGTAAGATTGTGTTGAGATGAAGAATAACGAGTAAAAATTGAAAACTGTCAATCAAATAAAAAGCACCACCAAAACAGGTACTTTATCTAAAACATTGAAAGCAACCATTGGTATATCAAACAGATAGCAAGTGACAATGACTGCATAGCAAAAATAACCTAATATATCTAGGTTGTAATTGATACATTTAATTACAACCTTTTGCGTTATTTACTTTCACTTTCTTTAGTATGTGCAAAATAAGACTGTATACAAGTACGGAATTTAATTCTAACAGGTTTTTAATGCCTTTAACTAATAGTAAGGTGCAAGAGTTTGTAAGGTGTTAGCACATCAAATCGCTTGATTGATTTAAGATCAATAAATATGGTTGCTCGGTTGAAGATTGCTACAACAAGTTCGACTTAAATATTTTAATCTGCTTTTCAACATGGTTGAAGATGTCATTCTTGCATGTAATCTTTGTGTAATATCTTGTATGATTTACACCAGAGAAATTCCTAAGAGCTGAAAGTTGGCTATCTACTATTTACTTTTTATCAAAGATTCAAAATAAAAGTATTAAGACAAGGCGGATGAATTCTAAACAACCATATCCAATGAATAAGAAAACAATTATTAAGTTTAGTTTTTTTTTTTTATATATATATTTCGGAGTTTAGTATGACGTCCATTATCACTGAACTAGTACATATTTTTGTTTAGGGGCCAGCTGAAGCACGCCTCCGGTGCGGGATTTTTTCGCTGTATTGAAGACCCATTGGTGGACTTTGGCTGTTTTCTGCTCTTTGGTCGGGTTGTTTTCTCTTTCACACATTCCACATTTCCATTCTCAATTTTAAAATCACACTTATCATTTTCAATTTTTTTTTTCTAATTTTAAGGCAAACCGTAATAGTCCCGCTAAAAAGTAATTTCTTTCATAAAATAAACTCGGTTGAAAACTGTTACTGATAGTGAGAAAAATATATTGTTTTGTACTAGTGTAATGTGCGTTCTATGTTTGTGATGCACAATTAAATAACTTTATATACTTTATGGTCACGACACTATTTGCAAATTGTCTTTTTTTGGTATTGTTTTTTTATTGTTACATATGTATTTTTTAACTAATTCTTCATTGATTCAACTAGCAAAAAGTGCTGCGCCATGAACGCATGATACGTCCGTCGCTTTTTTAAGGTATAAAGATCCGTAACTCTTCAAATCCATGTCAGAAATTTGTAAAAAAAAAACAATGGAAGGTAACTTCATTAGATATGAACCAGTCATATTAGTTTCATGAAAACTGCTCAATTCACTTTTAAGTTATTGTCATAAAACTGCAAAAATGCTCTCCGTTGTTTTTATGACCCCGTAACACGGACATACTAACGGACTACCGAACATACGAACTGACAGATTGACGGATGGACAGACGGACGGACAACGGTATACCGTAAACGGGCGTATAAAATCTGTTCTACTTGACCAGCAATATTTCATATGATGCATTGATTGGTTTTAAACAAAAGTCTTTATATCATTATTTGAAATCGTGTAGAGGTTTATTTTGTTTAAACTATAAAAAAAAATCATCATTCGTTATTTGAAAAAAAAAAAAAAAATATCTTCAGCGGGAAAGAATTAAAAGCTGCGGAGAAGGATATAAAGTTAAAGCCTGTCAAACCATCCTGTTTTTCGTCGTTTTAAATAAACTGAGTATGTTATATCAGGATACGGTTCTTCACAACACGGATAATACACCACATTCCTAACCACGCTTGTATCTTTTATTTCATAGCTGTTGTGATGTTGAAAGTTAGACAAATCTATGACCTGGCTTCTGTTTTGTAAATCAATTTTAAATCCGTCAAATGTCCATGATCCGAACTTGAAGGTACATTTAAATTCATCCTGGGACTGTCGACAGTTATCGACCTCAAGACGTATTGGCAGGCTAAAGTAAACAAGTCCTGATTGGTCGACAACTGCGTTTGGTTCAAATCGTGTCCTTGTGTCTGGACTGCAAAAAAAATGACAAGTGTAAGTATATTATATGCTCGCTTTGTTGGTACTAGGAGGCACATTTGTAATGATAGTCTCATAAGTGGTAAAAAAGTAGTGTAAGAGATCACAAGCAACATATAAGATATCGATCCGTATAGTGAACTGTTTTTGCGGAAAGAGGGTCTTTTCGAAAATACTTCCATCTGTTTTGTTTTTAAATCTACTTAGTGACAATCAAGCCTTTCTAATCCCACCACAAAATTGCTTATACAAAAGAATAAAACAAAAGTAAATCAAGAGTAAAAGTACAACGTTGCATTATAACAAAATAAAATGGATGTTTTATTATCGGTGATTTGCCTATGTTTTTCATTGAAATCATTCACAATCATTCAATATGTAATATATGATTGAGTCAAGTACAGGTGTGCATCTAACATGTATACAAGTTAGAAGAATCTGAAAGATTTCATTTAAAAAAATTATTTTATCTAACTTATTACGTTAATTTCTATACGTGTAATTTACTCACTTGTCGTATAGAACAATATCAGGTGTCCAAATCTTTGATATTGGTAACCGAATATTAGTTGGAGAAGATGCCCAACACAAACGTGGATCTCTCCATTCTGTACCTAACCATGTGTCAATCGTCAATTTTGTACCATCCTGTATAAAATCAAAGTAAACAACAAAAACAACATAAAATCTAATTACATATTTTCTGGTATTCGGTTAAATAAACACTGACGGTCAAGTTGCTAAAAAGGAGAAAACAACACATCCTCAAGTAAAACAAAAACAAATGCAAAGAATGTGTAAAATGTTGTTTATCTGATAACCTGTATTGATATAGTATGTATGTGTTTAACCTTCAAGGATATGAAAAAAATATTTTTCTTTTGAGAAGGTATCCACTTATCCGTGGCCTGAAATTAAAGATAAATATTCCATGTTCTACCAGACCATAACTATGGAATCCCTTCTGAATTTCGGAATTTTTTGTAACGTTATTCCTAAAAACTTAAACGAAAAAGTCATATTTTGTGCCTCCAAATTTTCTTTTGGTCCATATTCAAACCATCTAAATTCTTTCAAAAAGTATGAATACGTCTAGTGTTTATGTTTGACATAGGGAGTACACCTATGACGTCAGATTGTTTAGATGACACAGACAATGTAACAGTTTCGGGTGTTATAAATTGATAAACCATATTACTTCTAAATAATTTTAAAACGATGATATTTCTAAATTCCATACTATCAAATTATTTATCATTTACTAAATAAATAATAAAGCAGTCTTTAATGGAAAAATGTTGTTACTGCTCACTGTAATAGATAAGGCGAATGACTTTGTAATTAACTGATTACAAATGAAATTCTTTAAACTTACAAATTCCACAATTCGAAGTAGTGACATGTCGTGTTTGACAACAACAGTTTCATTGTCTGTTGTTCCAGGATAGGCAAGTTCATTGTAATCCTGAAGTAATGTTCTTATTAACCAATCTTCTATTAAAACACCTAAGAATAACAACAATACAATAATAAGTAAATGGTCTGCATTTTCTTTCAAGGAAATTTCCATCCTAAATGTTTCGTCCGTCTGTCTGTCAGTCTGCCTGTGTTTTTGTTTTACAATAACTCATCAAAGTTTGAGCTGATACAATAAATGTTGATCTTAATTACGTCAGTTCAGAAAAATACAATTCTTTAAAAAACTTATAAATAATACATTTAACGAGTATGGATACTGTTGATTTTGCCATGGGTTTTGATAACAAAAATAAAATGGAGTGTTGTTTTTGTTAATAGATATAAGAAGATGTGGTATGAGTGCCAATGAGACAACTCTCCATCCAAGTCACAATTTGTAAAAGTAAACCATTATATGTCAAAGTACGGCCTTCAACACGGACCCTTGGCTCACACCGAACAGAAAGTGTAAAACATCTCAAGCAGGAAAACCAACGGTCTTATCTATATGAAAAACGAGAAACGAGAAACACTTATGAACCACATCAACAAACATCAACCAATGAACATTAGGTTCCTGACTTAGGACAGGTGCAAACAAATGCAGCCGGTTTAAACGTTTTAATAGGCGCAAACCTTCACCCTACCTGAAACAATAGTGAAACATTACAACATAGAAAGACACACTGTGAAATATCAACTAAAAAAAGACATACTAACAAAAACAAGTGAACATACACTTAACGAATAAATTTGATATATGAAACACTATAAATACAAAATAAACAAAACAAGGGGGTTAGATATAAACAATACCAGAAAAACATCCATAACTTTGAACAAAATGCCGCTGAATAAAATAACGTACAAAGGCAAATAAAAATAGTTGTGTTGGAAGGTAAGGATGAAGTACGGAAATATGTTTTACAAAATAAATAATTTTGTTGTTCCTAGTACGAATACAAAAGTGAAAATTTATCGTCATACTAAACACTTATCAAAGGTGGTTAATATTAAAAATATTGAGACTATATATAATACTGAATACGTAAACATTGAATAACAAAAATACATCACAGATTGTTTCAACAGGTCAAATTAACACCAAAGTACGATTTTTGAGTACTCGCAGTTACTGAAAGCTAGTGAAAAGCAAAAACAAACAATTAATAATAAACAATCATGCATCAGAAACTATAATCAATTGAAACACATCCCAGAGATTTAGTGTTTTAATTTCATGGACAAACATTGATATACACAGAAAATATAAAGAAGGATACCCTAGGTGTACCGTTATCTAGTGACAAACTTGTAATATTGATAATTTGAGGGAGGGGTTTATTAATTCGATATTTTGTAACAAATTGATATTTTACATTTCAAAAGATAGTGTCATCGTCCACCGGTCGTGACGTTACTGTATGAAATCATATCCGCAGTATCGCAGTAAAGACATGCTAGTTTTTACAACAGCAGTATAATGTTATCGAAAACATTGAGATACATTATGGTAGTTTCAACAATATATTGGTGTAGCTTTATTTAGTAATGATTTTTGTTGTCAATAGTACCGATGACAATGTAATATAATGTCGGATTAATTGCAAATTTATATTATATTTCAATATTTTAACTCTGCTTCTGTATATTTGTGATGTTGTTCCTCAGAAGACCTTGCAGCTCACTAAATATCAAGGTCACATCTTCAATCAAAGTAACAACTCTATCTCATTGATGGCTCGAATTAAAAGTATGGAAAACTAACTTGTTTGTATCTTTATCATTGCTGACATTAATAGGAGAGTTAACTAATGTAATTTCAGTTGATGCGTAGCAAATAAACCGTTTTTTGCGACAACAAAATCTATGATTGAAATACTAAAATAGCCCATGTTATTCCTTTTCTTATGCAATTGCTTAATCGTGGAATCGAACCTCCGATTTAGTGCACTTAATGAAAGCATATAACCCCGATACCATCCATCGCTTAGATTACTTTTAAAATATGTCAGCTGATTTAACAGTAAAAATAGAAGTAAACGTAAAACAACATATATATATGTATTACCTGTTGAAATAATTTGCTCTTTAAATACATTATTTTGCTATCAACAAAATAACTACATTTAGAAGTAGGTTCCTTATTATTATCATGATCAATTTGAACTCTTCTTACCTTGAACAACACAAGGAAATATTAGAATTAAAACCACAGTAAGCAAAATGTCTGTTTTCATCTTGTTGTCCTATGTGAAATTTATCATGCAATGGAAAAAATCAACGCAATTTTAAATATAATGATAAAACTTTGAATATATAATCTGTCAAGTGATTATTGTGACATTTCGATGCCGATAATGAGTTTTTAATAACCTTTGAACTACCCTGTAGTAGATACTAATAACGGTGTTGACATTTATATTTTGAAATGAATGATTGTTTCAGTTATTATTTTTGTCCTACTGAATGTTATGTTCCTAAACCTTTAATTGACATTCGCACAAAACGTAGAAGAGTATATTTATACTTGTCATACAAGTGAGAGGTTTAGCTAGCTTTAAAACCAGGTTTAATCCACCATTTTCTACATAAGAAAATGCCTGTACAAAGTCAGGAAAATGACAGTTGTTATCCATTCGATTGATGTGTTTGAGCTTTTGATTTTGCTATTTGATTAGGGACTTTCCTTTTTGAATTTTTCTCGGAGTTCAGTATTTTTGTGATTTTACAAATTATTTCTATCAAAATCTGGAACTTTATAAGAAGTAATTTAATAATAAATACGATAAATGCTGGAATGTCAATGGAATGTCAATGGATCAACGGGTAATCGGTGGTCAGTGGTTGCAGTATTTCATCTACAGTGGACACTAGCCTTTCAACAAGTCACTAGAAGAAATCCTCAACCAAGGAAACCTTGCCGTGGAATATTCAAAAGTGCTGAAGGTGGCGTTTAAACACCAACACTCAATAACAATCAATAACAAATACACCATCACAGACAATCAGGACAAATACGTATAAGTAAAGACTTCAACAATGCGCAAATTCGACACAGTATTTTATGTTTCAGACGTTATTAAAGGATCCTCAATGACAAATTGAAACAATTAAAAAAAAAAAAAAAAAAAAAACATCCTGATTAATACTATAATAATACACAAAAAAGGCATACGAAAATTTACAAACAGTTATATTGTTGACGCATATTTATAAGACTTATTTATTCAGCACATGTAAGTTTAATTCTGTCTTCTGTATACATTTATGCATATGTTATTGGAAAGACATTGCAGCGTATTGAATATTCAGGTCACATATTCAATCAAGCAAACATCCAGTTGTCGCTCTTTATCATCAATGTCTCATATTAAGCAGGAAAAACACGGAAGGACTAACTGTATTGTATCTTAATGATTACTTAAATTAAACACAGAGTTTACTGACGTAAGTTCAGTTTATGCGTTGCAAATAAACTGTTATTTTGCGACTGATAAATCTATAATTAATGTCAACAAGTGCTAATATATACCATGGTTATTTTTTTTTTCTAGTGCAATTGCTAAATCGTGGAATCCTACCTTCGATTTAGTGCACTAGATGTGAGCATATGAACACGAAACCATCGCTTAGATTACTGTTAAAATGTGTCAGCTGATTTAACGGTGAAAGTAGTAAACGTAAAACAACATATGCATTATCTGTTGAGCATGTTGAATCAATTTGCTCTTTAAATACATTATTTGTGCTGTTACCAAAACACATAAAACTAGAAGTAGGTTTCCTAATTATTACCATGATCGGGTTGAACTCTTCTTAGCTTGAACAACACAAGAAAACGTTAGAATTAAAACCACAGTAAGCAAGATTTCTGTATTCATCTTGTTGTCCAATGTGAAATTTATCATGCATTGGGAAAAATTCAACGCAATTTTAAATATAATTTTAAAACGTTGAATATATAATCTGTGAAGTAACTATTGTGACATTAAGATACCGATATAGTGTTATTAATAACCTTTGAACTACCCTGTAGTTGAAATTCATAATACTTTTGACATTTACATTTTATAAGTGGATGATTGTTTCTGTTTTTATTTTCGTTCCTACTATCAATATCGGGAACTTTTTTTCAAATACTTTATTAAAGAAATACGAAAAATGATGTGAATGTTAATGGATCAACGGGGCATCGGTGGTCAGTAGTCTAAGTATTTCATCTACAGTGGACACTAGCCTTTCAACAGGTCAATGGTTCTCTGCAATAAATCATCCGCCAAAAAACCTGTCCATAAAATATTCAGAAGTGTTAAAGATGGCGTTAAACACCAACACTCAATTAATAAGTCAATAACAAATACACCATCAATGACAATCTGGACATATAGGTATCCGTAAGGACTTCAACAATGCGCAAATTCCATACAGTGTGTGACGTTATATAAGGCTCCTGTATGACAAATTGAAACAATTCAAAACAAAAAACCATCCTGATTAATACTACAACAATAAGCAAAAAAAAAAAAAATACGAAAATTGACAAACAGTTATATTGCTGACGCATATTTGTGAGACGTATTTCGTGAGCACATGTAAGTTTAAAAGTAAGCATTAAAATTTATTTAATACAGGTTGGCCATATAGAAAAAAATCAGTGTGTGGTATTTAGTTAGTATTGAATGTGATCTATATTTCAAAGGAATTATTTTTTTGTTTTGTTATACTGACTAATTTTTCATTTTCTACATTAAGACAGTTCATGGTTTTTCGACAGAACATAAAACTCTTACATCAATGTTCATCAATGATCCATGAGTTTCAATGACTGCGAAGAGTAAACTTTAGCACTTCTTAACAATTTAACTTACATACATTGTATATGCATATTTCATGAAACACGGCTTGAGGCACACTATGCATACTGTAAACTGTGAATTTATGGTGACAATTTTTATAAAGCCAAAAGTTAATCATGGAGAATGTGTCGACAGGCTGAGCAGTTGACAAATTGAAAAGTCAGCAAATATCAAAGTTGACAATTTAAATTGCTAACTTATACAGTGGTTGAAAAGTAGACTGATCGACATGTTGACAATTAAAAAGATGTCTACAGCTAAGGTTTAACAAGTCAATAAATTGATATTTAATTACAGCCTTTTTCAATAAATGTCAACTTGTCGACCTGTCGACACTTTTGAATCAAGACAAATTTCTGTAATTGTTAATTTCGCAGACCATTCAACTTTTGAAGGTAGACAATATTCCAAAAGTAAATGTGACTTGTCAAACATTGAAAGTTGATAATTTATTGTAACTGTCAATATTTTAATGCAGATAGTTTTCCATTATATATCAGGGATGGCATCGAGTACTCGCTCGGAAAGCCGAGTACTCGAGTACAATTTTAGTACTCGAATACTCGTTTTCCTTTTATAAATATTGATTATTCCTTTGTTTTATCAAATTAATTCCTAAACGTGTAAATAACTCACTTGTCCTGCGTTCAAATCCTTGATATTGGTTAGCGAACATTCGTTGGGGTTGGGGTAGGGGAGATTCACAAGACAAGCATGGATCATTCCATTCTGTACTTAAAACCATGCGCCAATCGTCAAGGTGGGGAGGGGAGATTTCCAAGACAATCATTGATCATTCCATTCTGTACTTAATCCTGCGCCAATAGCCAATTTTTTTACCATCCTGTGTACTCTTTTAATACAAACAACGAATAAAAACGTTAACTTATAAAAGATCGTTACTCTTTTTCTGGTGTCACTTGTTATGATATATATGTAACTATCATATTTATTTAGTTGGCCTAATTTGTTTTGTGTGGCCTTATAATATGTTTACATAATATTGGTACTTGTTTATAAAAATGATATTGTAACTGTGCAGCTTAGAAATCACTGGAACAATCATTGAGGCTGATGGAATGATTAGAACTTTCCATTTGACTTAAATAACGATTCCAGAATGATTATATTTAAAGATGCGTAATTCAAACTTCTTACATTGTTCTAGAATTTTCCGTTCTTAAAGTTTCTAAGACTTTCCTTTCTACAGTGTTCTAAAGATTTCCGTGACAACTATATTTATACAGACACTTAAGTTAAACTTTCAGACATAGACATCGATAGACATTAATATTCTCAGCAATTGAATTGACATTTTTATTTACTCACAACATCATACTAGAATGTGACCTATTGGACGTAGTATTCTGATTAAATTCCCATAAGGTTCCGGATAAAGAAAAGGTAAAAGATCGGACGTATATTTTGACAGTTAAGTTGACATTTCTATTTGTGTTATACTTCTTGTAAAATTGTGTATGATAAATCTTGTTAAATTTTATTATTGATTTGTGTCTTTTGTTGCCTACAATTTAAAGGTGATTCTGGCCGTTACACACTTGATTGTGAAGGTAAATTCGGAAACGGAAGAATAAACACACCCATGAGTAAAAACAAAACCAAACAAATACGAAGAAAAATTCATTTTTTTGATACAAGGGATGTTGCTCTTTTTTTATTTTTCTTTAATTATTAGATTTCAAATGAGTAGAGGAACAATCTATAAGAGGATTTTTTTACGGAAAAGTCAATCAGTCATCACATGAATTTTTAATGCAAACAAAAACTCATTAGATTGGGCATTGTGTTTTTATAAATTTTCTTCATTTTTGATTGTCTGTGCCAAATCAGGAACCACCAAAATATTCTATATTTGAATGTCTTGCATTATTTCCCGAATGGGTGATAATTGCAGATCTTTAATTCTGTAAAATGTATTCACAGCTTTTATAGACTCGATATAATTAAACGTTTAAAATATTGTGTAGATATAAATCTTTATAATGTTACAGACTGTATGCTGCCCTTTGGTTATATTATTTATCGTTTGGTTACTGTCTTATATACATATACCACCATATTTTCTTTATTTATATTTCGCAAACGAGGATAAACATTAATGTAATAATTGACGAAATAATAATCATAAGAAAAATAAGACTAAATTTCTTTTACCTTTGTAAAATTGCAGATTAATCTGTTTGCTCATTTTAGTTAAATCATATACATTAAATTTATCTTTTATACGAAATTCATATTTTGTTTTATCTAAGCGTTCCATATAAAGTTTCTTTAATGAGGGTTTGCACAACTGATATACTATTCTGGTGATACACAACTGTTATCATGTACATATGTATGTTGAGACATAGGCATACATATATATATAACAGCTCATTTGTGATAATTTATGTGAGGATTATTGAGTCTGG